GGTCAATTGATATTTGAGAAAAGGGACAGAAGCATAAAATGGAGTAAAAATAGTATCTTCAATAAATGGTGTTGGGAGATCTAGACATCTACATCCAAAGAAACAAAATGAGATCACCAACTTATACACAAAAACAAATTCAAGGAGATAAAATGCTCTAATATAAGTTGTGACATTATAAAAGTCTTAGAGGAGAACATAGGCAGGAAAATCTCAGATATTCTATGCAGTTATATTTTCACTGATATGTCCCCTAGAGAAAGGAGCATAAAGAAAAAAAGGGGATCTCATCAAAATAAAAACTCCTGCATGGCTAAAGAAAACAGCATTAAAATGAAAAGAAACCAACTGTATGGGAAAACGTATTTGCCAATGGTACCTCAGACAAGGGTTTGATCTCCAAAATATATAAAGAACTCACATGACTCCACTCTAGGAAGACAAGCAACCCAATTAAAAATGGACAATGGACTTGAACAGATGCTTCTCTAAGGAGGACATACACAAGGTCCAGAGACTTATGAAAGGATACTCATTGTTACTAGCCATCAGAGAAATGCAAATTCAAACCACAATGAGTTACCACTTCACACCAGTTAGAATGGCCATCATAAGCAAATCAACAAACAAGTGTTAGAGAGGATGTGGAGAAAATGGAACTTTAGTGCACTGTTGGTGGGGATGCAGACTTGGTACAGCTACTATGGAAAACAGTATGGAATTTTCTCAAAAAACTAAAAATGGAACTGCCTTTAGACTCAGCAATTCCACTAACTGGATTACACCCTAAGAACCCTAAAATATCAATTCAAAATAACCTATGCACCCCAATGTTCATAGCAACACAATTTACAATAGCCAAGTGTCAGAAGTAATGTAAGTGCCTATCAGTAAATGAATGAATCAAAAAACTGTGGTACATTTACATGGTGGAATACTACACAGTGTAAAGATTGAAAGAGCTTGTGCCCTTTGCAACAGCATGGATGGGACTGCATAGCATTATGCTAAGTGAAATAAGCCAGGTGGTGATTGACAAATACCATATGATGTCACATATAAATGGAACCTAATTAACAAAACAAACAAGCAAGCAAAATACAACCTTTGAAATTAAGAAAATACGTACAGTAGCCAAAGGATATGTCAGAGGATAATGGCAGGAAAAGGGGGAAGTGTTTTCAGGAAGGTGTAGGAACACCAAAGAGCAGTAGGATCAAGCGTGTGGAATGGGGATGTATGGGTGAGGGAATGTTGGTGGTAAAATGGAGACAACTGTAATTGAACAACAATTAAATGAAATACACACACACACACACACAATATTCCAAAAGTCATAGCACACCAGAAAGGCACTTCTAAGGGGGAAGTAACATCAACACAAGCCTACCCTAAGAAACAAGAAAAGCTCCAAAACATCCCATAACCTTATATCTAAAGTACTAGGGAAAAAGAACAATGTATAAAGGAAGTAGAAAGAAGTAAATATTAAGTGCTAGAGTGAAAACAAATTAAACAGAGACTAAAACATAGTAAAACAGATCTGTGAAACTATGAGCTGGTCCATTGAAAAGATAAACAAAGTGATAGACCTGTAGACATATACAATCTCACAAGACTGAACTAGGAAGAAACAGAAAATATAAACAGTCTGATTATCAGTAAAGAAATTGAATCACTAATCAAAAACCTCCAACAGACAAAAGTTCAGGACCATACATGTTAACTGGTAAGTTCTTCCAAACATTTAATGAAGAATAAATACTTATCCTTCTAAACTCTTCCAAAAAATTAAAGAGGAAGGAATGTTTTCAAAAATATCCTATATTGCCTCTAATATCCTGATACCAAAACCAGACAAAGATACTACAAAAAAATTACAGTCCAATATCTCTGGTGAACATAGATGCAATAATTCACAACAAAATATTAGCAAACTGAATTCAAGAAGCATACATGAAAATGATCTTCAACTGTATCAAGCAGGATTTAATTCATGGATATCAGGATGGTTCATTATCCACAAATCAGTCACCATGATTCACCACATTAACAAACAAATAATAAAAAGTATATAAATTTTGAATATCTCAATCAATGCAGAAAGCAGCATCTGATATCATATAACTTCCATATATGATGAAAACTCTCAACGAAGTGGGTATAGAGGGAACACCCCACAACATAACAAAGGCCATATATGACAAACCCACAGCTAACATTACACTCAATGGTGAGAAACTGAAAACTTTTCCTCTGAGATAAGGAAGAAGACCAGGACGCCCATTCTCATTACTTTTATTCAACGTCATATTAGAAATTCTAGCCTCAGCAATTAGAAAAGAAACAGAAATAAAAAACATCCAAACTGGAAAGGGAGAAGTAAAACTGTGGCTATTTTCAGATGACATGATAAAATATATAGAAAACCTCAAAGACTCCTTGGAAAACTATTAACAACCAGTAAAAAAGTTTAGTAAAGTTGCAGGATGCAAAGTGAATATACAGAAATCACTTGTGTCTTTTTAAATTGATACCAAACTCTCAGAAAGATAAATTAAGAAAACAGTTTTATTTACAATTACATGAAAATAATAAAGTACATAGCCTTGGCTGGTGTGGCTCAGTGGATTGAGCACTAGTATGTGAACCAAAGTGTTGCTGGTTTGATTTCCAGTCAGGGCACATGCCTCAGTTGCGGGCCAGGTCCCCAGTGTGAGGGCACATGAGAGGCAACCACAAATTGATGTTTCTCTCCCTCTCTTTCTCCCTCTTTTACCCTCTGTCTAAAATAAATCAATACTATCTTTTAAAAAATAATAAAGTACATAGAATTCAATTTAACCAAAGAGGTAAAAGATATATTCTGGTAACTCTAACACTTTGATGAAAGAAATTGAAGATTACACAAATAAATGGAATGATATACTATGCTTATGGATCAGAAGGATTAACATAATTAAAATGTTAATACCACTCAAAGCAATATACAGATTGAATGTAGTACTTATCAAAATAGCAGTGATACTTTTCACAGAACTAAAATAATTAATCATAAAATTTGTATGTAGCACAAAACACCCCAAATAGCCAAAGCAAACACGAGAAAAAAGAACAGAGCTGAAATGACCAATTAATCTACAATAAAATTCTACAATAAAATAGGCCAGAAAACACAATGGAGATAAAACAGTCTGTTCAAGAAATGGTGTTGGGAAAACTGGGCAGCTATATGCAAGAACAATTAAATAAACTACTTTCTTACCCCACATACAAAAATAAACTCAAAATGGGTTAAAGACCTAAATGTGAGACCTGATACCATAACATTCCTAGAAGAAAACACAGGTATTAAACTCTTTAACATCAGCCTTAGAAATACTTTTTGAATATGACTCCTCAGGCAAGTACAACAAAAGCCAAAATTATCAAATAAGACTACATGTAACTAAAAGTATTTTGCACAGCAAAGAAAAACATCAACAATGTGAAGTTGCAATCTACTGAATGAAAGAATATAGTTGCAAATTGTATATCCAATCAGGGGTTGATATTCAAAATATATAAAGAATATTTTTAAAAATGGCATTTAAAAAAACCCAAATAACACGATGGAAAAAAATGTGCAGGGTATCTGAATAGAGATTTGTTTTTCAAAGGAGACATACAGTTGGCCAATGGACACATGAAAAGATGCTCAACATCACTAATCTTTAGGTAAATGCAAATCAACATGGCAATGAGATATCACTTCATTGTCAAAATGGCTATTATCAAGACAACAAATAAGAAGTGATAGAATGTGGAAAGAAGAGAATTTGTGAACACTGTTGATGGGATTGTTAATTGGTGCAGCCACTACAGAAATAAGTTTGGTGGTTCCTCAAAAACTAAAGTCAAAATTAAGTAGAAGAAAGGAAATAATAAAGTAAACTCTTCAAAGTAAACTTCCATTGAACTTCTGGGTATTTATATGAAGAAAACAAACTAAGTAGAAAAGATACATATACCTCTATGTTTATGGCAGCATTATTTATAATATCCAAGATATGGATATGGAAGTAACCTAATATTCCATCGATAGATGAATGGATAAAGATGTGGCATATACATATATATGGACTTTTTGGCCAACCCCATATATATATATATATATATATATATATATATATATATATATATATATGGTTGTGTGTATGTATGTATATACCTACACACACACACACACAAACATAAATAAATAAATGTGTATATATATATAAAATAGTATATTACTCAGCCATGAGAAAGAATGGAATCTTACCATTTGTAACAACATGGATATCTGTTCTGTAAAGGGTATTATGCTAGTAAAATAAGTCCAACACAGAAAGACAATACTATATGATTTCACTTATATGTGGAATCTAATGAACCAAATACACCAGGGAACACAAGAGAAACAGGCTGATAGATACAGAGAACGAACTGATGGTTGGCAGTGTAGAGGGTGTTTGGAAGACTGGGTGAAAAAGATGAAGGAGATTAAGACATAAAAAATTCCAATTATAAAATAAATAAGTTATTGTGATGTAATGTACAATATAGAGAATGTAATTGGTAATATTATAATAAATTTGTGTGGTATCACATGGTGAATAAACTTATCATGGTGATCACTTCATAAAATATATAAATGAAAATTTGCTATGTTGTACACCTGAACTAATATTGATATAATATTAAATGTCAACAATGCTGTAATGAAAAGAAAAAAAGCAAGCCTATTTCACAAATTTGCATTATTTTTGTGTGAAATAGTTGGTATTTCTTTCAAATGTTCATAATTCAATATTTTTGTTTTGTATAAACTACCTTACATTTACTCTGTATATAATCTTTTATATTTCATGATAGGCTATAGTGTTTGACCTTATTTAATTTTAATATTTTTCACTTCACTGCTTGATTGCTTGATTATATAGCCACAATTTGATGTTTATCACTATAATGTGTTTCAGGGACTTCATGAAAAGACTGGTGTATTTACAGCTGTTAAGGTGATGAATGCTTGTAAGGTAATATTATATTCTGTTTGCATTTTATTCCCTTAATGGAATATGGTCTAAGGATAAATAGCTCAGAAAATATTGTCTTGTTCTTTAAGCATTAGTATGTATAATTATTATGTTTCTCTGGACTTAATATATTTATCATTTAATATTTTTCTACCCACTAGTATATTATCTTTATTATTGATTTATTATGCCTACCGATAAAATACTTTATTTTGGTATTCTATAGGAATGAAGGAATCATCTGCATATATATCTATTTCTAGTTGATTATTTGTTTCCAGGGATTGCAAAGAGGAATCTTCATGTGTTCCATCATATTCTTTTCCCTCTCCAACTATTCCTTTTGTGAGTTGATGCCATTAGATTTCCAATAACAGGTAAAAGGAAAGAACTTGTCACAGATAGGCATTTTTCTTGCATTTTCTGACAGATACACAAGAGAGACAGTTTAATTGGCACTGTTTCTGCAAACATTCATAAAGTTGTGTCAAGGTTTATAACATATCGTAATAGAATTTGGTAACCACTGATTTCCATCCTATTCTTCAGCATGAGTGCCTCACTTTCTCAGTATAATATTAGCATGAACATAGTAAAGGTCACAAACTTTTCACTTCATTATACTTTAAAGGAAAATTCTCAAATATTATGTTTGAAAAGATAAATATATTCACTGAATGGTTGTCAATACCATAAACTGTTGTTTTACAATTTGTGCACAGAGTGAATTGCTGAAACTATTTAAATAATTGCATGACTTGTTTTGCCAGTAAATGTCAAAAGTTGCAAACCAATGTGAGTTTCAAGGGATTTTGAAATTTTGTGTATTTATTTTGTCCTACAAATTATGACTTTCCAATAATCAGCCAAGTGCTATTTGGGTGTGACCCACTAAAATAATCATTTCCTTATATGAACTTGAGAAAACTTGACCCACTTTTAATTTACTTTTTAAATGCTCTAACTTTTGAAATATTTAAAAATCATATTCAACCCAGAAAGTCAATTACCTTGTTTCATAAGAGAAAATAACATTTTGTTAACATCAAATTGTAATTTTCTCATTAAAGTGAGAGTTAAATCTGTTTTTAAGAATTTGGTGCCAAGTTTCTGCATATGTAAGAATATAATTTTTAAAAAGATTTTATTTATTGATTTTTTGATAGGACAAGGGATGGAAAAAGAGAGGGAGAGAAATCAACGTGTAGTTGCCTCTCGTGTGCCCCCCACATTGGGGACCTGGCCCATAACCCAGACATGTACCCCAACCAGGAATCAAACTGGCAGCCCCTCGGTTCACAATCTGGTGCTCAATACAGTGAGCCACACCAGTCAGGGCAAGAATATAATTTTTAAATGAAAACTACTAGCAAAGATTGAGAGAGGAATAATATTATGTTATTTTTCCATTTAGTACTAAAGACAGCACAAATAATAAAGAATAAATCATTTTCAGAATGTACTTGTGACTCTAATTATATATTGCTCTTGGTTTGCAGACACCTTTACCTGAAGTAGGAAGACAAGTGAAAGTAAATAAATATCAGAAGTCTGTTGGATGGAGATACAGTGTGAGTAATGAAAATCCTCTTTAGCCTCCAAGTAGTCTTCCCTTTTCTTCTTTTTCTTCAAGAAGCTTCTGTTTTGTTTTATTTTTAAATTTATTTCATTGTATTTTTCATTACCATTTAGTCCCCTTATACTCCACTTCCCCCAGCAATCACCACTCTGTTGTCCATGTAAATGAACCTTGTTTCCTTTCTACTCAATCCCTCCACCCCCTAACCTCTCCTCACCTCCTTAGCTGTCATCCTGCTCTCTATCTATGAGTCTACCTCTATTTTGCTTCCTAGTTCAGGTTTTTTTTTTTTCATTATATTCCACATATGAGTGAAATGATATGGTATCTGTCTTTCTCTGACTGTTTTTTTTTTCACTTAGCATAATGTTCTCCAGGTCCATCCATACTGTCACAAAGGGTAAAATATACATTTTTTTTTACCACTGAGTAGTATTCCATTGTGTAAATGTCCCATAGTTGTTTTATCTACTCTTCTACTGATGGATACTTGGGCTACTTCCATATCTTGGTGATTGTAAATAATGTTGCAATGAACATAGGGGTGCTTATGTTCTTTAGAATTAGTGTGTTGAGGCCTTTTTGATATATTACCAGAAGTGGGATTACTGGGTCACAAGGAAGGTCCATTTTTAACTCTTTGAGGTATTTACATATTTCTTTCCACAGTGGCTGCACCAATCTGCTTTCCCACCAATAGTGTAAGAGGGTTCATTTTTCTTCACATCCTAATCAGCACTTATTTGTTAATTATTGATCATATCTATTCTGACCAGTGTGAGATGATATTTCATTTTGATTTTAATTTGCATTTCTCTGATGATTAGTGACACTGATCATCTTTTCATATGTCTATTAGCCATTTGTATGTCCTTTTTGGAGAAGTGTCTATACAAGTCTTTGCCCATTTTTTTATTGGGTTGTTTGTTTATTTGTTTGGTGTTGAGTTTTGTAAGTTCTGTATAACTTTCGTATATTAACTCCTTATCAAATGTATTGGCAAATATGTTCTCCCATTTTATGAGTTGTCTTTTATATTTTATTGATGTTTTCCTTTCCTGTGCAAATCTGTTTAGTTTTATGTAGTCTCTTGTATTTATTTTTTGTTTCTGTTGCTTAAGAAGATATATCTGATAAAATATTGCTTCTAGCCATGTCCTAGATTTTGCTGCCTATGTTTTCATTTTTCTTTAAGTTTTTTAATTGTTGTTAAAGTACAGTTGTCTGCATTTCCCCCCAACACTCACCTCCACCCCAGCCATCCCCACCTCCCACCCTTGATCCTAACCCCCTTTCATTTCTTCCATGTGTCCTTTATAGATATACTATGTTTTCTTCTAGTATTTTTATGTTTTCAGTTCTAATATTTAAGGCTTTGATCCATTTTGAATCTACTCTTGTGGGAAGTGTAAGAAGGTGGTCTAGTTTTATTTTTTGTGCACATATCTGTCCGCATTCTCTAACAGCATTTATTGAATAAACTCTCTTTAGCCAATTGTGTGTGTTTGCTTCCTCTGTTAAATATTAATTAATTATAAAGATGTGGGTTTATTTCTGGGCTCTCTATTTTGTTCCATTAATTGTACCATGAAGTTTTGATTATTATGGCTTTATAGTATAGTTTGATATTAAGTAGTGTGATTCCTCCAACTTTATTCTTCTTTCTCACTGTTGCTGTGTGGGGTCTTTTGTGGTTCTATATACATTTTTGAAATATTTGTTCTAGTATTGTGAAATACATAATTGAAATCCTGACAGGAATTGCATTGAATTCTTGTTATCCATGAACACAGTATGTGCTTCCATCCATTTATATCTTCTTCAATTTCTGTGTTTAGTGTCTTATAATTTTCTGAGTCCAGGTCTTGTACATCCTTGGTTTTGTTTATTCCTAGGTGCTTTATTCTTTCTGAAGCAATTGTAAATGGCATCAATTTCTCCATTTCCCTTTCTGTTAGTTCATTATTAGCATATAGAAATGTGACTGATTTCTGGATCACAAGGCCGATCCATGCTGCTTTGTATCCTGCTGCTTTGCTGAATTCATTTATTAGTTCTAGTAGTTTCTTGATGTAATCTTTGGGGTTCTCTATGCATAGTATCATGTCACCTGTGAATAAAGACAGTTTTACTACTTCTTTGTCAATTTGGATGTCTTTTATTTCTTCTTGTCTGATTGCTGTAGCTAGGATTTTCAGTACTATTTTGAATGAGAGGTGGAAGCGGACATTGCTGTCTTATTTCCAAGCTTAAGGGGAACATTTGTAGTTTTTGTCCATTGGGTACATTGCTGTCAGTGGGTTTGTCATATATGGCTTTTATTATGTTTAAGTATGCTCCTTCTAATCCCACTTTGCTGAGAGTTTTTCTCATAATTTCTCGTACTGTATATTATCAAATGATTTTTCTGCATCTATTTAGATGGTCATGTATTTTTTATCCTTCATTTTGTTTACATGGTGAATCACATTTATTGATTTGCAAATGATGTATCAACCTTCCCTTCCCAGATTAAATCACACTTGTTCATGCTGTATAATCTTTTTGATGCATTGCTATATTGTTTGCTAATATTTTGTTGAGGATTTTAGTGTTTATGTTCATTAGAGATATTGGTCTATAATTTTATTTCTTTTTAAAAGATTTTATTTATTTATTTTTCAGAGAGAGGGGAAAGGAAGGAGAAAGAGGGAGAGAAACATCAATGTGTGGTTGCCCCTTGTACTATCCCAATTGGGGACCTGGCCTGCAACAGAGGCATGTGCCCTGACTTGGAGTTGAACCAGTGACCTTTTGGGTCACAGGCCCGCACTCAATCCACTGAGCTACACCAGCTAGGGCTATAATTTTATTTCTTTGCAGCATCTGTATATGTTTTTTTTTTTTAATTAGGATAATGCTGATTTTGTGAAAGGCCAGAGTTTGGGAACATTCCCTTCTCTTGAATTTTTGAAGTAATTTGAGAAGGAGAGGTGTTAGTTCTTCTCATAAAGTTTGGTAATATTCACCTGTGAAGCCATCTGGTCCAGGGCTTTGTTTGTTGGGAGTTTGTTTTTTTAAAAAATAAAATAAACAATGAAACAAGAGGATATAACTATAGTAAACATTTACATACTCAACATAGCAGCACCTGAATATGTGAAGCAAAACTTGACTGACATAAAGGGAGAGATCAACAGAAATACAGTCATAGTCAAGGACTTTAACACCCCATTGACTTCAGTGAATAGATCTTGCAGACAGAAAATCAACAAGGAGACAGTTGTCTTAAATGATACACTAGATCAAATAGATTTAACTAATTTCTTCAAAGCACCACAAAGCAGCAAAATATACATACTTTTCAAGTTCACATGGAATGTTTTCTAGGATAGATACATGTTAGGACATGAAACAAGTCTTAACAAATTTAAGAAGATTGAAATCATACCAAGCATCTTCTCTGACCACAATGCTATGAAACTAGAAATCAATCATAAGAAGAACACCAAAAAACATGCAAAGTCATGGAAGCTAAGTAAAATGTTATTGAACAATGAATGAATGGGTCAACAACAAGCTCAAGGAAGAAATCAAAAGATACTTTGAAACAAATACAAATGAGGACACAACAATCCAAAATCTGTGGGACACTGGGAAAGCAATCCTAACAGGGAAATTCATAACATTAGAAGCCTCTCAGAAAAGAAAACTCTAATAAATAAGAAGGAAAAACTCTAGAAGGAAAAACTCTAATAAATAATGTAAATTTAACTTAAAGGAACATGAAAAAGAAAACAAACAAAGCCCAAAGTGAATGGAATAAGGAAGTAATAAAGATCAGAGTACAAATAAGCAAAATAGAGTCTAGAGAAACATTACAAACAATCAATGAATACAAGAGCTGGTTCTTTGAAAAGATGAACAAGATTGGCAAACCTTTAACCAGACTCATGAAGAAAAGAAGAGAAAGGGTCCAAGTAAATAAAATCATAAATGAAAGAGCAGAAGTAACATTTGACACCAAATAAATACAAAGAATTTTATGAAAATATTACCAATAACTATACACCAACAGACCAACAAGGACTTCCAAGATAGAGGAATAGGTAGACACACTGTGCCTCCTCACACAATCAAAAGAAGGACAATGACAAATTAAAAACAAACAACAACCAGAACTGACAGAAAATCGAATTGTATGAGAGTCGGACAACCAAGAAGTTAAAGAAGAAACATTCATCCAGACCAGTAGGAGGGGCAGAGGCTGGCAGCTGGATAGAGAGGACTCATAGTAAGGCAGTGGCTGGAGGACTGGGACTATCAAGGCAGTGGCTGGAAGACCCAGTGAGGAAGTAGCTGGCTGGCCAGGCAGTCCCACATTCACATACAGGTAAACTGGGAAGAACAACTGGGAAGCAAGATAGGCCACAGTGCGCAACCCAGGGTTCCAGCACAGTGAGATAAAGCCTCAAAGCTTATGACTGAAAACACCTGTGGAGGGTGAGGTGGCAGCATGAGAAACGCCAAGCCTTACAAGAGAGTTCATTGGAGAGACCCACAGGGTCTTAGAACATACACAAAACCATCCTCCCAGGAATCATCACCAGAAGGACCCAATTTGCTTGTGGGTAGCCAGGGAAGTGACTGCAAACAGGCAAAGAGTGGAGCAAGGGGAATTGTTCCCTCTCAGACCCCTCCCTCACATACAGCATCACAGAGCAGCAATGTAGATTACCCCACCCTGATGAACAGTTGAAGCTCCGCCCCTTACCACATAACAGGAATGCTAAGACAAAAAAAAATGGCCCAAATGAAAGAACAGATCAAAGCTTCAGAAAAAAAAATACAACTCAGCAATGAAGAGATAACCAACCTATCAGATGCACAGTTCAAAACACTGGTAATCAGGATGCTCACAGAATTGATTGAATATGGTCACAAATTAGAGGAGAAAATGAAGGCTATGCTAATTGAAATAAATCAAAATGTACAGGGAACCAATAGTGACAG